TAACTTTTTGCCCCGAAAAACTATAATTTCTCTATAATTCACTTTTGGCTGAACGGAAATACCCCCCCACCCCTCCTTAACTTTCCTTTATTTTTTCCACTATTCGGCTTCAAAAAGTGCAAAAAAAATGCTTTTTCGTTCATAAAAAAAAAAAGAAGCTAGACAGGAAATATCAAGGTGTGCATAAAATCTAGCAAAAATGGAAAATTTGAAAAGGCCGAAATAAATCACTGTATTAACAACATCAATATAAAGTTCACAAAGGAAAATACGACCTAGGAAAGGATGCAAGCTCATACATCGTAATTATCTATACCTAAGTTTTCGTGCACTATTCTTAGGCTTGGAATACTTGGACCAGCTGCTATCTAATTCAACTGCAATTCTCGATCTCAGCACGAATGAACGGAAAAAAAGCCCAAAATAGGTCGAGTTTAATATTCGAGGAAGCGATTTACTGAGCAAGGCGCAGATTACAACCTCTTTACCGTCACCTGTCTCCGGGGTCGTAACACTGTAGTTCATACACACATACACACATACATACACACACACGCATACACACACGCATACACACACACGCATACACACGCACACACACACACACATACACACACATGCATTCGTAATATATCCCTCAAATCTACAAATCTGAGAGGAAGACGCGGACTGCTACAGCACACACTGCTTTAGTATAACATCAGTTGTGTCCTTATCGATTTAGTTAGTCAGTTATGGACTGGTAGATATTTCTAATCCCTCGTTATCCACGTCAGTGAATTTGCTTAAAATAGCACGATTCCGGGAACTAAATTTTAATAAGAGCTGTCTGTATTATATTGGTATTATATTCTCTGTGCTATAGCACAACTGTCCAGCAATGGGAGCTTGGCTGCGGATCGCGGTTGTAGAGGGATCTCTGGTCTAAATGTTGGAGGTAGCCTATTGGCTAGCGGTGGTAAGTGAGTAAAGCTATTATCCAGTTTCATAGTTTGCTACTTCATCTGTGCTAATGGCGACTTTTCCGTTTGCTTTGATCAATACCGCCCTGCCTAGCTCCCGGCCTACTATCGTTTCAACGGTTTTTTTTTTTTAGAAAACCAGTTCAACCGCTCTTCGGTCGCAAGTCTTGGCGAAGATTTCTGCCGCGCTGTACGTTAAGTGAAATGCAATCTTCCCAAAGGTTTTCACATTAAAATCAATGAGATTAAAAGTACTCTAGATCACCCAAAACGAGGAGACCAGTGAAGAATTAGGTTACCTCCTGGAAACGATCCAACAATTCCGGTGAAGCTGGTGTTTTTGATTTCTCCAAAACTGTCATAAATAGCTCGGCGAGATCGATTGCACTTGTCATTTCCTTCACTGCAAATATAAATTTTCCCAATTTTTAATGCTCACTGACCAAAAGCCTGAGTTTTACTCGTTCACTGATTTGGTTATAAATTCGATGCACTTCTCCCGATTTTCACATTTAAAAATGCATATTTATCTCGAATAAATTAACACCCAGCAGAGACAGCCGAATTTTGTCAGCTTATGCATATTTATGAGCTTTTGTCAGCTCCCGGCAGCTTCAAGCCAAGATAGCCGAATTTTGTCCGACTATATTTTCATTTTATTTTGTTTTTAACTTTTAATTTTTACGATTTTTTTCATAACCATAAAATATCCAAATTTAAATTTACGTGGCGTTTTTTTTGCTTCATCCCTACATTACGTTCTGTGTTGTGTGCTTAAAGACGAGTTGGGTAACAAGGTGTTACTGGCGACGAACGATTAACAAACAACAACGACAAAATGCTGGCATAAGGGCCTCCTTATATACAACATGGATTTCCGAAGAGATCTCCTTATATAACAATTACCCCGTAGGCAAGCGTCTGCGGGGTGATTAGTACACAGCGGTGCAGCGTGATCGATAAAGCCACGGCACGAACTTACACACCTTCACTTTTCACTTCTACACTATCAAAATAGAGGAATAGAAGGATTATTTCACTTGAATGTCATGTGTGTATGAAGACATTTTATGGCTCAGTTTGTGTTTCATCCCTTAGCTGTATACACAGACTGAACTGTGCGTGCGGATAAGAGTGGGAATCATTAGTACAGCCTCCTACCCGCCATGTTTCGAATAGTCATGTAACTAATTTGCAAGACGGATTAGAAAAAGAAAAAGAAATAGTGAAGGAGCAAACAAAGTGAGAGAGAGGAAGGAAAGAAGGGAAGTTAAAACGTGATATGAACAATCATTATATTAAATTATTGCTGATTAGGTGTTTATTTTCTGAATTATCAGGGAAGATGAATTTGCTCAGTACTGATCGGCTCCTGAAGCAAAATCTGAGAACGGAGCGTTCTAGTTTGGTAATATCAAACTTCTTTTGTTTTATAGATACTTATGAGCAGCGTAGCTCAGTTTTAGAAATTTTATTCAATTATCTTCCTGCTAAATATATTTATTATTGTTACCACAACCGTCGTACTGACGAGGCACACGAGATGCTGATATGGTGCAAATGTAACATCTTAGCCTTTA